GTGATGTAGGAACAGATCACCTTTGTTGTAATGCCTTTCTTGTTGTATTGGTCCATCCATTTGCTACTGAGAGGAAACTAGAATGTGATATATAAAAGAGTTATGCTGTGTTTATAAATACAATATGAAATGCAGCTTCACAGCACTTCTGTCCAGCTATTTAATTTCTATGAAGAGAGTGGCTAACAGAAAATCAAGAGTTCTTGGGACTCCCTTCACATCAGGTCTTTGTGCAAACACACTCACTCACTTCCTGGAAAGGTTTCCCACTAGCTGGAAGACAGACTTGACCAGGCACTTTGACAAATATTAGGAGAAAGAGCAAGGAGAGCAGGAATGCTGCAGAAGTTAACAAGGTACTCCATTGTGTAGTTGCCATTCCTCTTAATCTGAAGGAGAGCAGAGACAGGTGGCATGATCAGCTGGCCCAGCTGGGATGGTCAGTGCCAGTGAGAGCACCCTCTGCATCTTTGCAGGCTGAACAGGAATCATCACTAGGCAAATATTAATGGAGATGGGCACCTCGGTACTCCTCCTCAATTTTGGCTGAGTAATTATTTGCTAGCAGCAGATGTAGCTGTTAGTTTAAAAAATAGACAAACAGATTATAAGTCTGAAGCTGGAAGCAGTTTTGGGATGGGTATGTCTCCAATCACAGCTCAGCTATATGCACATCTTCCAGGTTTCCTGAAACAAGTAGTTGGTTTGGCTTTCAATAGTAAATACAAGCTCTTTACAACTCCTTCTAAGCCACAGATACAGGGAATATCCTGTCTTTTAAGTCAGTGTAATATTCCCCTTCCATCAAACCACTGTTTCTCTGGCTCTGGAAAGGACTCTTCTCTTACTTCTTGCACTCTGTCTAGAACACTGATTCAACCATTGCTTGGGAATGCAAGGGAAAGAAAAAATCCAAGCTTTTTTTGTTGAAATTAGATGTCTTAGCACGCTGGAACTTGAACACTGCAAGCTAACATGTTGAAATTGCCATTTATATCTCTGAGTCCTACATGGGCAAAGTGAGAATACTAGGAATTCACCAATTTCCTAAGCAGTTCAGTCAAGATCCTCTTGCTTTTTAGGTTAGACAACATAATTCCAGCAAATGGTAGACAACACCAGGCTAGAAAGGCAACCAAATGTCTGCCTTAATCGTTCCCTAAAGACTGAGAATTTCCTCCAGAGTTCATCTAAGTGGAATGAAGTTTATGAGCATGCACATCTAACTGTATGAGTGAGTGGGCTTTTCTCAGAAATTGCACTTCTCTGCCCACTGCCTGAAAATGTCCTTAATTTCCCCTTCTCTTTCTTCCTTTTTTTTCTTTTTTTTCTCCTCCTTAATCAAAGCCATTATAGAAATCTTCCAGCAGGCTTTGGAGTGAATCCTTTAACTGTGATCACAAAGCACGGCTGCTTCACTTTCTTTGAGCTTTGACTTTTGAAGCTATCCTCATTTGTAGATCGCTTTTAGTTCAGAAAACATGCCAGCAGTTGTACTAAGAAAAAAAGACAAAGAAAGAACAGAAGGTCTTCCTTAAAGAGTTTCATCTCTGTGCTTTTCTTTCCATTTCAGTGGTTTTATCTCAAGATGCCTGTTTTAACCAAGCTTTTAGAAAAAACAGCAGAAGAAACCAAAGTTTCCAACTCGATGAAGCTAAATTTAGCACAATCAGTACTCCAAGGCCATCTTTACAAAAGATGTCATAAGTGAAGTATTCCACAGCAGATATAATGCATTACTATGGGCAAGAGCCAGCAATGAGACAAAGCCTAGATCCACAAAGCAGCATATTTCACAGGAGCCAACATCTCACCAATACTGTACACAGTTAGAGAACCACGTGGAGATCAGAGAATGGATAGTGGGGCTTTTCTGGGCTGAGCCCAAGGGCCAAATTCATGTAATTAGCATTTCGCGTTTAATGGAAGCTCTGACTGGAGCCCCCAAACTAGGGCCTGTGATGGACCCTACACGGAAAAAGGCTGACATCCTGTGGCAAGCCTGGGAAATGGCAGCTCCATCTGACGGTGACTCATTTTAAACGCATGGCTTTCACTTGGGCATTTCAACAATGCTTTTAGTGCTACAAATTCGTTGGCTGTGACATGCATATACACTTTTTTAACAACCAGGAAAAAAGAAAAAACACAAGCAGCCACGAAGCAGCACTGCACAACGGTGCAGTTGTTTGACTATTTCTAAAAACAGAGCAGAAGAGGAATGCCGACGTAACCAAACCTCAAGCAGACATGACATCTTGCCAGGGGTTTCACAGATGCTCATGGATTGCAGAACAACCACACTCAAATATCCAGTTCCCTCCTAAACTTTCTGGGCAGAAGGAAGACCGAGGAGATATTACAGACTTCCTCACTTTTTCATCTCCTCAATCCAGACTCCCATTTTCTTGTCCAGACCATGTACTATATTACTGCCTGCTCACCTTGTCTCTCCCTCCTCCTCTATACAATGATTCTCTACACGTTTCTTTGCTCAGCCAGCCAAATCTTTCCTCCTATATCATATTTTTGTGTCCAATTCATCTTCTCCTTGCCCAGCTACTTCTGCTCTCAGCTGATGCCTCCTCATCACAGCTTTCCACTCTCCATCTGGTTTTACAGTTCAAGCACATCAGGAAACCATCACAGCATAACAAGTCCATCAACAGAGCAGCAGTAATTCATCTTTGCAGCAAATTACACTGTCCTGCCTCAAGGTTAATAGGAAGTAAAATGCAGTTATCTCAGCTTCTTTCATGGCTGGTTAACTAGCGCACTTCACCACACATTTACAACATGCTAAACACTGGGCCAGCATTACTCTGCTCCACCAGTCACTGCACAGTAACTCACGGAGCTGTGGACAGCTTACCCATACATCTGAGCACTTGCTGTCCCCACACAGCCAAATGGCTGTAAGAAATCATTGTACGGACAGGACCCCAGCTCAGCTACACCTTCCTGTTCTGGAAAAGCGATTACTAAATAAATAAATAAATAAATAAATAAATAAATAAATAAATCATGCTTCAACCTGCAGCACTAAAGAGAAAACCAACAGCCAAGTTCTCTGAAAGGAACAAGAGCCAGCAATGAGACAAAGCCTAGATCCAAAGCCTAAGGAACAGAGGAACGTTTCTGATTACTTACAGCTTTGCTACCTTTAGTTCACTTTCAGTCAAGCAACAGCATGCATCCTGAGACGGAGACCAACCACACAAGATTCGAGTCCATCTTCTGAAGTGCCGGCCAGAGATAGGATTGTCACAGTTTACTGTCTGGGCCAAGCACTTTTCTCAGAGTCCTTCATGCTTGGGGATTTTTTTTTTCTTTAAAAATAGCTGATCCCACTCCATGAGGAGTCTTCAGGCACTTATGCAGTGATCTGAAAATATGTGTTTTATTTTGCGGCAGGTTAGTTTCCAGCAACACCATTCTCCTGAGCCGCTTACACACACAGCATTCCAGCTGCCAACACCCACAGGTCAGAGGCAATGAGGCCAGACAGTGAGGCCATGCAGCACATGCAAAATTAAGAAGACGGCAGCATCTTGCCTTGAGACCTATGCAAAGTGGCTTCATTTAATGGTAGTACTACACCTTTCTCATCTTCCACAGCTCAAGAAGGACTCATCTTTTAGGCTACATCCTGAGATTTTGTACTCCTGTATCGACAACTCATGTAATTGTTCCACTGCTCCTTCTCTACTAAGTTCCCATCCAGTCTTTCCCTCGTCAGAAAAAATAAACAATAAGGCCAGGCACCTGCATCCTATCCTCTCTGAAAACTTTAAAGAGGAAAAACTTGAGAGGGTGGAACTGACAAAGAGCCAACATACAGTTGACACATATCATCTCAAGGCAGATGTTCAGCATGGAAAATTTCATCATGGAAATTATGAAGTTCTTATGCAATGAGATACAAGAGAAAGGAAAACAGATCTTGATCATGGGAAATGTTAGGAAAGCCTACTAAATGATGTTTGCTGCCCCTTTAATAATTACAAGGTATCACTACATAAAGCTCCTTAGTAAGTGAGGGCCATTACAGCCAGCTGATTATATTATTAATCAGTCCATCGTATAAAGCTGCGAGAGCACGCTTTATTTCAGAGTTTTCCATTGATCAATTTGATCTGCTACATGAATATAAATATGCTGCTGCTTCAGACAAGCCTCAGGCCTTGAAGAAGCATAAACCAGCATTTCAAACTTAAATTCAGTGTTTAAACGTAAATTGCTAGAGTCAAAGAACTTGGAGCCACAGTCCTCATGTCTCTCTCCGGTGATGAAGTACCAAGGGAATAAAATTTTGTGTCAGACATGCCAAGCTGTGAGTAATTCTTTTGGTACACGTGAAATAATGAATGCAAGGGACCTACTTCAAGGCAGTAGGCAAAGGAGATGGTTCCTTGACAGCTCTGCTGCTTTTTGTGCCCTGTTCTCTATGAGCAGTCTCAGCAGTGCTGCTGCCAAACCCCTTAGACTGACAAAATGAGAGCCTTCCATTCAGCAGCACCAGCATTTCCAGGATTGTTTCTCAGAGAGGATGACAGCCTCCTCCTTTTCAAAGCAGCATTACAACTCACTAGCAGAGTAATGTTGGTTTGTAATCCCTCACGTAGGTCTTTTTGGATGCTGTACAAATGCAACATGCCAGTAGCTTGCTCAAGAAGAATAGGCACTAAGCCTATTTTCTCTGTTTTATAGCAAGGGATGTCCTGTAGACGTGAGCAGAGCCAGAAACATCTGGATTTAAATCCAGTACTCCAGCTTAATTGCTAAAAAGTTTTTCTCAAGCACTTAGCAAGGATCCAGGAGAACTGGGGAGCACCGTCTACAACAAGGGCTGGTGCTGTGAAGGACTTGTGGTAGTGCCGATGTAGCAGCATTCAGTACCGGCGGTGAAGGACCGCCCCCCACCACCCTCCATCTTGGGCAGGACAAAGCCCGCTGCCTCGGCTTCCTCTCAGCGCGGCGACGTCACACAGGGGGCGTGGCCTCCGTTGCCCCGGTGACGGCGGGCGTCCGCCGCCATCAGCCGCGCAGCGTCTCCGCATCCCGCGGGCGGCTTCCGGTCGGACTCTCCGCCGCCTCCACGGTACTCCCCGCAGCACGCGGCCCCCGGGGCGGGGGGACTGGGGTGGCCAGGCCCAGCATCCCCGCGGGGAGTGGTCGCGGCCTTCGGGTGTGCGTCTCCGCCTGTGGCGGGGGTCTGGGAGCGGGACAGCTGTGCAGCCGCTGGGGCTGACTGCCCGTCCGTTTTTAACCTGTTTGGGCAGACTTTTAAAGAGGGAAAGGATCCTGAGCGGTGTCCCCCGCTGGTGCCTTCTGTGTGTAACTAGATCCATTTGTTCATTTATCTTTCAGACCCTCTGTACACGTTACCAATTGAGAAGGGCCATTCAAAGGCAAATGCCCACATTCAGCTTGTCAGTGAGAATTTGGTAGGTGTTTGCCAAAGAGAGCTCACCTGGTAAGCCTGGTTTTCCAGATGTATGCACACAAGTGGATAGAACCTTTTTTACTCAGCTGCTCCCTTAAAGCAACAACCCACCCAGTAAAGGAAGGAAAGTTAGGAATTTTACCTGATATAAAAGACAACGCAGGGAGCACCTTATTGCTGGCTGGGATGACTATAGCAGCAACCTAGAAATGCCCAGTTTCATATCCTGGGTAGTTTCCAAAATTACATATAGGTATTTTTAATAACATACCAAATGCTGATAAACAATATCTTGCATATGGCATTAAAATCTAATAAAACAACTGGACAGTTGCTGGGCTGTTGTTCGAATACAGCTGTTAAAATGTGTTATTTCAGTGTCCTCTTCCGTACCTTGGGATGTAGTTGCATTGCAGCTCAAGGTAACAACATACTCTAACAGCTTGAAATCTACCAGGTATCAACAGCTAAGCAGCCTGTAACAGGTTGCAAACCTATCCTGATTCTTCCAGGTTTGCATAGCTCAGCTTCCCTTAGCTCTTAGTTAGCCCGTGCTTAGCTCTCCCACCGTCCTCCTGCTATCAGTATTCAACCTGGCTAGTTTAAAACCAGCTAGGGCACATCCTTAGGGAACTGCAGTCACATCTTTGGACAGCAGTGATCGATGTCTGGACAGGCTGCATATAGGCAGAATGCCAAGAAAAAGCAGACTTGCTACAGCAAGACTGCAGCAGCACAGTGAATTGGATTTTAAACTAAGAGCCCTCCTGAAACTTTGTGCTTGACTGAGAGTACAAGGCAGATATTTGAGACTCTGAAAGTCCATTCCTATCCAGCATGGAGAAATTTCCCCAAATGAAACATTTTTTTGAAAAATGTTTCTGGATGTCTCTTACCTAGTTATGTCAGGCTCTTGTATATGTAAATATATATCTACTTGACAGAGATGTGTGCTTGTCGACCCCTCTCTGCAGAAACACGTGAAACTGTCATCAAAAAGATCCCTGCAACAGTGTGGCTGTGCCAACAGCTCAGGCGCAACAAGTCAGCAGATGCACAGTCACAAAGGTTGTGAATGTCATAGATGTAATGTTGCAGACGGTATGGTGACGTACTCTGATTTCTATAAAATGTTTTTTAAGTGTATGAATCACCAACTGTGTAACCTGCAATACAAAACAAAACAACTGTGAATTCCTGATCTATAGCATCACAAAATGGGGTGGGCAGAGGCTGAGCTAATGCTCGTTTATAAGCACTTCCAAACTCCTAGAACTTGAATTCCCTTCCAAGAGAAATAAAACAAAAATGCAGTCTCATGCCCAGAAAGCAGTTACTCATAGAAGGTTGCCTAGGTCTTCATAATCTGACACACTCTGATGAGTTAGTGTGCTTGAAATGTCACTGTTATCCTATATGCGTGCGAGTTACTATCCACTGAAATGAAAGGGGTAATGTGCAATTCAAAACAGATTTCAGGCTCTACAGAAGCCAATGTATCTATATCACTTATAATTGAGTCACAATTACAAAGATTTATTGGTAACCATAAATCTTCAAATTTAAGGCATATCTACCGAGGGAAATCAGTGCTCCAGAAGAAAAAGTGTGGATTTTTAATGTGATCTTTTTTGTATGCTAATTCCCATCAAGATATTTTTAGCACGTGCTAAAATTACTGTATTATAAAATAATGTAATTTTACTCTCTAAGTAAAATAACTGCTTCTTCATTTCTAGAGCACACCTAGTGGGAGGGAGTTACATGGGGTAATCTGCTAGAAGTTCACGTGACTCCATATTCACAGTTTCTGCACACTAACTTCTTTATGTAACAAAACTGTTAGACCCTTGGTTTGTAGTATAAGTTTAGATACTGGAAAACAGCCAGAAGACATATCTGTGCATGTGCTGCTAGTCTGATATGCTCCACATCTTGAGAAGCACCATCTAACCGGCTGCAGTCATTAGCATGTGTATGTCTTCTTCTTTCCTCTTCCCAAATGCCCTGTAAATAACACCAGCCTTTTCTGTGGATTGCTTGTATATACATATACTCATCAGCACCAGCCGAAATTCTGATCACTTTAATGCTCTTTGAAATCACTAACGCACCTCTTCTTCTTTATGGCCACACAAACATTAGGTAGAAGTACCAGTCTTCACAAGTATGCTTAGTAGCTTGCTCCATTTCCCGGGCTATGGGCTGTGCTTGGAGGGCAAAGATGCAGTGCCTCCATTTATTGATCGAAGATGGAGAGAGAGGGCTCAGCGGCGCCTGAAGGCTCTTCAGCAGCTTGCAGTGTAAGTGTTTCATGCTTGGGTAATTTAAAACAAACTTGCAAACAAAAACAACAAAAACCCTGACGCACTGAAGTGGTGTTGACTGCAATTTGCTCCTACTTATATTGCCCTTGAAATTAAGAGATTGCTGCTGTTGTGGAGTGTTGTTTCCCATCTGTTTCTTACAGGGTGGACACTACACATTCCTTCATCCCTGTGCTATCTGCTCTGCAGTAGCTGCTGGCAAAATGAAAAGTAATTCAATCTCTTATAGATCAGACAAGTTGCAAAGTCTTCACTGGCTCACGAGTTACTTCAGTGGTAGCTGTCCGAGGAACTTGCAGCCAGGTGGATTGCTTTTGCTGTTCATTCAAGCATGTATGGTGCTTGAACCGGGGCACACGTTTATAGTTCAGAAGTTTTTTGTCTGACTTTTCTCCTGGCATTGCAATCTGCACTTCTAATTCAGCAAATATTTAAGCAATCATTTGAGTTTTGCCACAGTATGCGTCTTCAAGAGTCTTCTTATAGCAACACTCAAGAATGCAGGCATTAGTCTGGCTACTTGTTTTCTTTTTTTTTTTTGCTGTCCTAACAAACTAACTTTAGACCATGGGCTCTTCAAATGATATATTCTCTGGTTTTGTTAACTGAGTTTTACCATTTGCCAGAGAGTAATCAAGGAAGTTTCAGAGTGATATGAAGAATTTCACATCTATTTCTGTTCAGTTTCAAAAGCATATTCTTCTCAATTCTGCAACAAAGTAATACTTTGGAGGTGTTTTGTTTGTTTGTTTCTTATTATCAGCAATTCAAACTGTCCCCAGCACATGAAAACCTCAGTGGCTTCTTCTATTTTGCTTGCTATTCTGTAGCAGCAGACTTTTTGAAACCTTAAGTGTTTTAAAAATACATTCACATTTCAACAACATATATTTGCAAAACATCTTGCAATCAGTAATATATATATATATATATATATATGAAGAAAGAGAAATACATCCCTTCTGTTTCAGTGCTGCTGATAGTGAAGATAGAATTATTTTCCAGCTGCCGTTTCAGTAGCTGTGTTGCTTCTGCAAGGTTATCAGGAATGAATGCTCGTTTATTTCAGCAAAGTCAGCAAATGTAAGTCAAGGTCCTGGAAGAGGCAGGATCTGAGGAATAAAAGAGGCTGTTTCACTGGCTTCCCATTGTGCCTATAACATATCATAACAGGATGAATAGCTTATGCTAATAAAGTTAGATCTTAAGAATAAGTGCCCACCTGCGCTGAATGAAACATAAATCCATCTAACAGCAGCACTCATACATAGAGTCAGCTAGTGGAACTAGCCATCAGCTCAGTTAACTCATTAGAATTTCAAACACGACTTTACAGTAATAGGTTGATTAGTGCTGAATAAGTATCTACTATTATCACACAGCATCTTGAACCCTTCTCCTCTCCTTTGTTACATGATGTGACTAAAAATGCTGGGAAGAGACGACCTTGTCAGTAAACAGTATGTCAAGGGAGATGTAGGAAGCATTACTCTGCAGGCATTGCTGTAGTTTGTAGCCATATGGTTGGCTCCTTGAGTTCCACAGCAAAGCTCACAGGGCTTATGAGGTCTTTGAAGACAGTTGATGTCACTATGCAGCCCCTGTTTTTATCCCAGCTGTCAAGCAATATTATGCATTATTTACCTTATTTCTGTCAATGAGGCTCTATATTTAAAATTAAGTGGCATCAACCAACTCAAATACCCAGAATCCCATAAACTTAAGGTCAGAATTGTTGTAAGTTATCAAAAAAGATATCAGGAAAACAGAACCTTCAGGACTGGCCTTACAAACAATTTAATGATTGACTTTAATAGCACGATATACTACTTAAAAACAACAACAACAGGAAAAACACCACAATTTTGTTTTTTTCAAGGTTGCAGGTTGAGAAGAATAAGACTGGAATATGAAGTAGCTGTGAAATCTAATGGCAGTCCTGATATAGCCTTCAAAGGACTCAATCTCAAACATTCCCTCACTGATTGCCTCAATAGACCACCTGGTTTTAAAATAAAGACCTCATGGCATTAAAAGAAAGAAAACCAAGATGGTCTGACTACTGTAAATTCAAGATGAAGAGAAAATGAAGAAACACTGTTGATGTACTTATTTCTGCATGATTTTTGAAACATTCACATGAACAGCATAATTTTTCTCCTGTATTAGAGAACTGTAATTGAAATCATAGAATCATAGAATCACTCTGGAAAAAACCTTTAAGATCATCAAGTTCTACCACAACCTAACCATACTACCCTAACTCTAACAACCCTCTGGTAAATCATGTCCCTGAGTGGAATGCAGAGAAATACTAGCATGGTATCTTTGCCATGAAAGGTTGTCTCCTTCCCAAGAGCACAAAATAACTCAATTTCAGCGTTTGCATTCATAAAGTTCTCCAATGGGTACCTTCTAGGGATATGCTCTCTGAAGGAAGGGCAATCTAATGCTAATTCTACAAGTCCATTTGACTCAGTGGGGTTGTGTCTTCTCTGTTCAACACAAAAAGTCCCTCCATATGTACTTGCAATTATATAACAGTGTTAACAAGAATTTTCTTCAGAGAACTTGGGTTTCTTCTGGAAAAAAAAAACAAAACTGAGCATATACATATCCCAGGATCTCTCATTTGTTAATCCAAAAGTTATTCCTCCCTTCTTTCCTCATTGTTGCTTCTAAGATTTCTCACACTTGTTTGAAATCCCTAGCTACTTTTGGAAAGCAGCAAATTGTAGTTTTCCACTTTGTTCACTATATCACATACCTTCACTTTACCACATATTTTCTGTTATGGAAAGTTTTTCACTTTAAGAAAATGAGCTCAGCCCCTCAACTCTCAATAGAAGTATTTTTTTAGGTTAAGCATTTAGGCCTTGTCATGACAGGTACATAAAGAACTTTTATTAAATCTGTCTGGCGACTTTTTTTTTTCTGCCAGGGAAATAACACAATAAAGTGTGAAATTGTCTTGCTGTATATGTAAGTATGAAAAAAGCAAAATATAATTGCTTGCGTATGTATGAGGATTTTGTGGAATTTGTAATATGCATGTTTGGATTGTGCAACCAGAGAAGTAGAGAGGAAAAATGAATGATGATGCATAAGAAAAAGAAGTCAGAACTGCTCTGAATGTATTTCATGAGTAAAGAATCTGTACTACCTTGCCTGTGTTTTGGTTTTTAGAGGTCAAACTTCTCTTCACATACCCCAAATGGTGTATGAAGATCCTGAAGTTACTGGAAGGAATCGCTACAAATATTTTGCAAGGTAAGCAATGAACTAATTTGAAACAGAGTTCTGAAGCTTGATTTTGTGAAGTTCATATAATATTTATATGTTCAAGTCTGTTCTCCTTTTTGTTTTACTCACTTTTTTTTTTTTTTTTTTGATCTTTTCTGTCTCTTTACATTCACACTGTCCAGAATTTTCAGGTAATGAGTTACTGTATGAAGCATTCTGTACTTAATCATTATTTGTAGAAAATTTCAGGCAAACTAAACCACCGTGGCACTCAAAACTCCTGGACATGTTCCTTCTATGGAAGGCACAGAAGGCATTTTTAAACTCCCAATTTTTTTTTCCAGGAGCAGAATGGGATTAAAGGGAATCTTTAATTAACTTTTCATCCATGTCCTCTACTGCTCTGTTCCTGCCAGAATTACACTGCGGTCAGCACTAGAATCATGATCTAAACCAACAGCTAGCATACAAACATTCTCAACTTAGTCATGTGTGCTTTGTGTTAAATCTATTTGAAGAGACAGCTATTGGCCAACACAACCACTTTAAATCCCATAAAAATTGTATGTTATTAACATTCTTTAATGCTACTGTAATAGAGTCCATTCTTTCTGATAGGACCTTCATGTTTGGTTAGCTTAACTGTAACACTGACAGAATAGAATCATAGAGTGGTTTGGGTTGGAAGATCATCTAGTTCCAAGCCCCCTGCTATAGGCAGGGACACCACCCTATAGACCAGGTTGCTCAAAGCCCCATCCAGTCTGGTCTTGACTCTCTTTGAAGGGGGAAAAGTAAAACAGTACAGTAGTAGTCACCTGCAAAAAGTCTTATGCACAGCTTTTGTTAATTGAAAGCTTTTAGTTCATCTGGTTGTGTTAGAGAAAGAAAATGAAGGACTGTGTGTTAAAGAATCAGAACAAAAGTATTCCTAATTCATCAGCTGTTCTTTATAATATTGCAGTAAATCTTGACTGTAAATAGAAAGCATTTCTCATTTACAAAAAACTATATGTTTAAAACATTATATAAAATATTATTTAAAGGGGAACAAATGTTTACATGGGTTGATTGTGGTAGGACCAGGGGGAATGGCTTTAAACTGAAACGGGGAGGTTTAGGTCAGATATCAGGAGGAAGTTTTTCACACAGAGGTGGTGACACGCTGAACAGGTTGCCCAAGGAGGCTGTGGATGCCCCATCCCTGGAGGCATTCAAGGCCAGGCTGGATGTGGCTCTGGGCAGCCTGGTCTGCTGGTTGGTGACTGTGCACATAGCAGGGGGTTGAAACTAGATGATCTTTGAAGTCCTATTCAACCAGGCCATTCTATGGTAATCACAGTATACCAATTCTACACTTTTTTTAAGTTTCAGACATGCAAAGTTTTCTAGTTTGTAATGTCTTTTAAGTCTCTCAGAGGCTTAGGAGGATTGCTATGACGCAACAATATGCAAACTATAAGAATGCCTAAGAAAGAATTCTTAGTATGAATACTTTGTCTTCGTGTCCAGTCTTAGTGTACATCACTATATAATAAATATAATAGGTCTACTTTTGCTTTTTCTAATGGACCACTTGGAAGTAGTCCACTGGTGTCCAGAATCTCTATGCTGTTGAAAATCACTGATTTAATTTGCTTTGCTATTGGTGACTCCCCATTTCCTAGCACACCACAGATCACTGTAATTCTTCTGAAATCACAACTGCATCAGTATCAAAAGCTGTAAGGAAAATCAAGATTTTGAATCAGAAAATACTTTTTTTTTTCATGCTCTGTCTGAAGAATAGCACTCATTCCTTCTATTGAAGTATTACTTAGCTGTGAAAGTATTCTTGAATATTCAGGCACAATATGCAGGTTCAGATTCTGAGTTGTGGAAAATCAGTATAACTCCACTGAAATTAATGAACTGCAGTTTTTCTAAGCTATAATGATCTTTTATGCCTCATAGCTATTGACTTGTCTCTTTGTTCTCTTTTTTTTTTCCTTCAGACCTCTTGTCCCTCCTAACAAGCTGCTTCCACTAGATGTTTCTTATGTGATTGCAAAGTAAGTATTGGCTTCTGAAACAAAACTGTTGTAATAGGCCACAGCTCATCTGAAAATGATTGGTTAGCTACTTAGTTAGTGATTAATAGTTTTTGTAATGAATGACAGGAAAAACTTGGTAAGTGATAGAGTTTGTTCACTGTTGAGAATTCCTGGGTGAGCAGGTGACTGCCTGGTTTGGTGCTTGCTTGCAGTAGGTAAGCAGTGCTTTCTGACAGAAGTAGTATGTTAAGATTATGAGGCCTGAAACAGACTGCCAAGCATCTCTGAATCTTGGAAGAAATACCTCTACAGAGGATTCTCCAGTACAGCATTAAATACTATTGAAAATTCTCCTGATGTTTTTTTGTTTTTTTTTTTAAATACAATTTCTGTGATGGCTGCAATACTGTTCAATTGTATAGAGCATCCATTGAGTAATGTGGTAGTCTGATGTGATTTGCAATGCAGATCAAATTTTGAAGAATGCAAATGGAATCAATGGAAGTTGCAACTGCTTGTACCAGAACTGAGTTTTGTTCTGGAAATGCTGGAAAGGCAAACATGTAAGTTAAACTGAAGCAGCACTCCTTCATGTTATACTCAGCCATCAGTTACATTTTGTGCCTATTAGAAGCAGTGCTTTAGAATGAATACATAGGGCAGATTTGCAGCAATAATTCAAGAGAGCTAAAACTGGGAGATTTCTGGTTTGCTTATATAGGGAGGAAGCGTTTGAAGGACTTGGTGTTACCTCTGTCTGCTTTTAGTAAAGGTAATGGATTTAATGTGAATGAAAGCAAAATTCAGATGAAACAATGCACATTTGAATGTGGTACCTTTGACATAGTGTTGCATCTCTGTTTTGTTCTTTTAAATGTGACAAATGTTCTTCCATCTTTCATCACTTTTTAGGACAGAGCCCAATGTCTATTTATCTACAAGAGACAGCGAGATCTTTGGTCCCAAAATACGAACTTTTGGCACACAGACCGATTACAGGGATGGTGAAGCCCAGACAGATCCATATTCCCCTGAATATGTAGTTCCCAGTGGCTCAGTCCCCGAGCTTCTGACACTTGCTACTCTCACTTGGGGTGAGTTGCAGAATCAAGATAAATTGTAATAGTTATATCCCTCCTTTAGCAGCAGATTCTCCTTTATTCAATGTCAGGTTTCAAGTCTACTTGTACCTTTGGTATGGTAGCCCTTTGCAGTTTTCCTTTGTGGCACAATAAAGTGATAATGGCCTGAAGTTGAACATAGAAAGGTTCAGGTTGCACATTAGAAAACTTTTCTTTCCAAAAGAGTGGTAATGCATTGGAACAGATTGCCCAGGGAGGTAGTAGAGTCACTGTCTCTGGAAGTTCTCAAGAAAAGTGTAGATGTGGCACTGAGGGACATGGTTTAGTAGACATTGTGGTGATGGGTTGATAGTTGGACTAGGTGATATTAATGATCTTTTTCAACCTTAATGATTCTATGGTTATTTTATCTATTTTTAAAATAGGTATAGTATTCACATAATTAATAGTGCTCTTCTGGGGCATTTAATAAAGAGCTTTGAATATAAGAAGGTCACATGTTTTACAAGTATGAACTAGTAGAAGTTTTGCACTTACCCTCTGTTCTTCAGTTGTTCTGAGCTAGACATCAGTAAGAAAATAAGAATGCTTCTGTGGAAGAATAGAGCCTGTGGTCCTCATCTCCCAGTGTTTCATCTACAGTAGTGATGCGTACTGGGGGATGACACAGTAAGTGCTCATTCTCAGAAAATATACTCCTTTCCAGCCTGCAGTAGAGGACTGAAGAGGTAACATTCATGTCAACTAAGCTATAGCAACTGCAGGTCCAATCATTTCTCATGTAGTATTCTACTGGCTTTGGATGTATTTACTTCTGCCTATTGGCCCTTCTGCATCTCTTTAACGTAGGGGTTTGTGCCCATGAAGCCCTCTAATACTTTAGTGCCCTGATGGATGGACAGTTCTTCTAAAGAGCTGCTGTTTCTTGTCCCTCTAAGGCCGGGGGCTACCAGCAGGACTAGCCGAAGTGGAGATGATTGAACGTGCCCGGGAAAAACGTGCATGGGAAGCAACTCTTCCAGCCATGGACAGTGCCTCGAACACTGCAAAGAGGAGGAAAATGATGGAGGAAATGGAGAGGAAGGAATGGGCTTTTAGAGAACAGGAAATAGAAAAGTGAGAGTCCAGTTGTACACTTTATTTCTTTTAATTATGACCTAAAGAGAAAAGAAACAAGAAGGGTTAGAAGATTGGCTGGAGGGTACAAACCTTTGATTTCTGCAGAAATCCCCTGATCTGCAGAAGGGATATTTTTGTTAAGTTTAATATGAGATTGCTACTACAGCAGTCTTTCCACCAGCAGGTTTCTACTTTTAAAAAAGAAAGATTAAAAATGAGATACGCAATATGAACTGTGTGTAAAGCCACCAGCTGGTACATTGCACACAACAGTGCAGAGTTCTCTAAATCATACCTGGCTTTTCTTTTCCTTAAAGGTTGCAAGAGATTCGACTGGAAGTCTTTAAGAAGCTGCTGCAGAGGCGAGAGGAGAGACAAAATGAGCTGGATGCCAAGCGCTTGGATGACCACTGGCAAAATCATCAGAAGGCTAAAGAAGAGAAAATAAAAAAGATTCAGCGCGATTTTGCACTGAGTATGTTTGAGAACCAGGGAGAGTGCAGTGTGAGATTTAGTTTTCAAACAAGCCCTTTCTATTTTCACAAGGTTGCAGTCTTTGTTCAAGATGAAACAGGTAGCAACCACAATATAGATATGCACAGCCAGCATGTGTTCTGGGCAAACTGGCTGTGTTTTATGTTATCCAGCAGGAGCCTCTGCTAATTCCTGAAGCTGAGGCTTTTTAAAACTGTATGAAGAAAGTTCTTACATTTGTGTATCCTTTTCAGTGCTCAGGAAACTGATAGCTAAGAAGAAGAATGTGATGGGGAAGCTGGAAAGACGCAATATCATCAAAGAATATACTGACTTTGCATCACAAACATATGCTCCTTTGTCTAGGATTGGGTATTTCCCAGACAACCATTCTGAACACTATGTTGTAAAAAACTTCTATCTTAAAACCTTTGCAGGTAAGGCATTTTGGAAGTGCATAATCAAAGAATAAGAGAGTTAGGCAAAGCAGACTATGATAACAAAAGAGAGTAAATAGAAGGCTTACCCCTATCCTGGGCTCACACACAAAACTCCAGCAGAGCAGATCTCCAGAAGAGATCCGTCCCCACTGCTAGCCAGCTCTTAAATAGGTCTAGGAGGACCTAGCCTGGCTCCACCCCTTCCAGCAGCACAGGTGAATTGCCTTCACCTGTGCTCTTCTGGCTGACTTACTGCTCTCCTCATGTGATCAATCAGAGGTTCAGGTTGTGACTCAGGAGTTCCCATACAGGAAGACTTAGTTGCTATGAGATATTTATTAAAAATACTAACAAACTTCAAATTTTGCTCTTCATCACTTTGTTACTTAGTTGCTCTTTATTTCTCTCAGGACTGTGCGAACTGGAAGCATCTCTCCCAGATTCTGTCACCCAGGTCGAAATTAAAGCTCCAAAGCCTAAAAACAACATCACTAAGACTGGATATATTAAAAGATCAGCAAGGCTAGAAGTGGAGCTGGCACTGGTTCACCAGGTATGGAGGTGCATCCAGCAGTATGTCAGTTCCTTTCAGGTTTGAACTGCCCTGAAATGCTTTTAGGAAGACAAACGTGTAAGCAATCTCCCAATTTGCTGTGCTAAATTCATATTTTGTCTAAGACAACTTCAAGGACAGAGAGTATGAGACATTCAGTCTGTTGTAGACATGACCAGCACTGCTCTGGAACTCCATCTGTTAGTACTTCTTTCGCATGAGCATCTGTGGCTCTGCTTTGGCCTTCTAGAAAACAAGCATAGCTGCTTCTGTCTACCTACAGATTTGGTATTTGGGCTGGGATGTGCTATGTCAGTTAGAAAGTGTGTCCTGCAGTTTGCTCATTCTCTTTTCTCCTTTGCACATGTGGCAAGCCTGCTGGTTACACTGCCAAACTAATAATGATTAAGTAAACCAAATGTGACTTCATAGTTTAAAAGTTTTTTTACATTTTAAAAAAATGTCCATTCTAAGTACATGTTGTAAAAACATGTGCAGCAAAGCGTGATTGAGATGGCTGCACTCATAAAATCGGATCAGAAAGGAGGATTGAATCACTGTTATTCCTAAACAACAGCATCGTATTGTAGTGCTTTGTATATCTTAATTTATCACAACTGTTCATGCACGTGAGATGTCCATATATGCAATTAACCACTGAGGAAAGAAACACCTTATTTGCATCTACAGTCACAATATTAGTAAATTAAGTACTCCTTTAAGTATGCTCCTTATGAGGGTTACCTTTTTTTAAGATCAGGCTTATTCTTATGGGCTGATGCATCTCTAAAAAATACTAATGTTACTTATTTTTACTTTGCAAATTTTTCTTTAGTGAAAAATACTTCAGATTTGGAAATTAAATGTATAGCATTCTTGGTTTAGTGTAATTAATTGATAGTCAATTGAATAATATTTAAATTGAAATATTGCTCTGAGAAAACAATCACATTACTTCAAGTTTAAATTTCACTGGACCTTGTAAAAGATTAAGCATTGTATCTGATCATTACTCAGATAGAAAATCTTCAGGAAAGTCTGTGCTACAGGAAGTGTCAGGAACTAAGGACACTGGTTGACTACAGATTTAGAGAAGAGAACGTGACACTACTGAAGAGGTTTGAGCTTGGATGCTTTCCACATAAGATAGTGATCATGTGTACTCAGATCATGACACGTAGCTCTCATGCGCAGCAGAATGTTAGCCTGAGCTTTCAGGACTGAAATCTAATTACAACAGTTGTATTCTGTTTTCAAAATACTTCTGATGGTTTGAAAGACCACAGTGGAATGTCTGAACTGTACCCACTGGTGAGAAATATGCCATAATAGAGGCTGCTAACGTAATTTTTTCTCTTCAAAGACGAAGCGATAGCCAAAAGGAATGGAATGCAGAACTAAAGCAGACAATACTGCATCTTTTCTTCTGTGGTACATCACTAGGGCTATATTGATTTATACCAGCTGAGAGGCTAGCACAACAAAAACTCATTTCCCCTCCATAAAAAGGCAAAATATATGTTCTTCTAAAGTCACAAAACATTTCCTTTGCAGGCAGAGATAATAAATCTACTGCACAAAATTTAACTACTAATTTTAGATATACAGAACAAGACACAAAGCTAGTCAGTCCAAACTAGCAGAAAGTAGTGACACACTGCTAGAGACTCAGCCAGCCACCATTAAACATATTTTCTGCTTAGAGCAACAAGAGAAGAAACAATTTTATCATAGCAGTCTATCTTCAGAATTGCAAGTATTTTTGTCTTGGTTAGCTCTTGAGCTCTGTGGTGATGCTGCTAATTAGTTCTCCCATCAGAGCCTTTGGATTCCTAATTTTAGCAGCTGTAGCATGTTCTCTGGCTTAGCAGGGGCCTCTATGACAGGTCCAGTTCATAAGCTACTGGTGTTGTTGAGAAGTGGGGAGTAAAGGGGGCAGAATGCTTGATTAACAGAATCTAGTACTCGAGAGGACAGCAGTCCGACCACTTGTTTTAAACAATCTCAAGCCTGCCAATAACTTCCTTTGGCTCAAAGAACATGAAAGAGGTTTAAAGCAGACAGTTGAGGATCATCTCAAAAGGACTATGTTGCTTTGTGTGATTTCTACAGCCAAGCAGCTAGACCAGTGTTCTCTTCAAAATCCTCTTTTTAGCACTGCCCCAGCACTCTGTCTAGAAATTTTCTCCCTTAATTCTGGAAATGAAGCAGTACTCTAGTAAATTCAAAGTGTGTAATCATCTAGCTTTGGAATGAGCTTCCCTCTGTTTTTTTGTTTTGTTTTGTTTTTGCTGGCTAATCTCTGGAAGGAGGCAGCAAAAGAGGAGGAATGTTAGACTTTGTCATTAGAAGTAATTGTTTTTAATAAAGAAAATCTGCAAGGCATGCTTCTCCGGCAAAAAAAGTGGAAAGTTGGACTAATTCTCCTCATTGTATTCCTCTTGCATTGCCATACTGAACATCTTCCTAAAGTTAAAGGCTATAAAAAGGGACAAGAGATTATCCAGGGAACTACAGAAAGGGTGTATGTCCAGAAGAAAGCTCCCTCCAGAATTGAAACTAATCAAAAAAGGAATGATTTGGGAGGAGTATCCTGAAACTTTTTGCAAGAGTATTATTTACATTCAGTGTTCTTTGAATAATACTCTAAATCAAGAGAATGTGGCTGAAACAGGATTTACAGTAACAGCTACGTTCTGTACCTTAAACCAAATCTGTAAAAAGACAAGGAAAGCCAGTTCTTAGCCAGCACAAATAGTAATGCTTAAAGGAATGTAAGTGAACCATTATATAACCGTAGGTGATAATCAAAGGCGTTAATTCAGTTCAAAAAAGAGATAATGCACTGATGTAGCTAATTATCACAGAAAATAAATGCAACTAGGGAATTGGATATGCCAAGGAACAGAGGAGCTACTGGAATAAATCCCAGTGCAGAGCAGTGCATGACTGCAGGCTGACCATGGTGCTCAAATGACTCAGAAGAGATGAAGTGTCAGGTAGTTTCAATGTGCTGGATCCAGATGACATCAGAACAGAGCATCTCTCACCTCAGCATCAAGTGCAACTCTCATCATGGCTATTTTCCTTCAACCCATTGCTGGAAGGAGGTGGAGAGATAGGATGGCCAAGAATATCTCTGGAGAAAATCTGTGCCAGCTTCAAAGAGTAGGAAAAGCCACTAAAGCAGTTATTTCATCTCTACATCAGATCGGTAGTTGGCTGATTCTCAGGTAGATTCTAAGAGCTATCACATCAAACTTGAACAGCCAAGATGCAGCAGGCATGTTGCATTGCAAAGTATTCAGTCTGGCCTTAGTGATCTCACCTTTCTCATTCATGGGCAAAAAGGAAGGCAAAGAAGGCAAAGACACAATAATATACTCTGTTATATATGAAAATAAGACATGGTGTCCTGTGAACAAAGATGATTAAAGAGAAGATAGATAATTAAGAAATCTAACAGATGGTTTCCTTGTACGAAGAGTTGTTTCTCAAGCCACTATCCTGTAAAGAGTTTTGCTTCGGTCGGAAGCCAGTCAAAAAAGCAAAGTGTTTGGCCAAAAGCAGAGGTACCATTTCCTATTCACTGCATTCATTAGGAAAATGAAAAGGAGGTGAAAGATTTAGCTGATCCTTCCCTGTCCAATCCAATCAGACTTTACCATGACTCTGAACCTACTACTTGAAAGAAGTAACACAGTCTACCTCAGAAATGTTAGCATGTGAGAGGTAGGCAGTACCTTTTGAAATACGTTGCTTAGAACTTTAGCACATTTTTTCAAAGTCTTAGGAAAATATTTATATAGCAATTCTTCCATTCTGATCTCTCTGTCTGGAATGGAAAAATGGTGACTTGTTAAGGTAAGCAGAACATGTTAATGCCAAAAACACACCTTCTTCTTTTTGTGCACTGAAATCTTAAAATACCTTAAAACCTCAGATTTGAGAAAGCAAATGGTAACCATTTTTGACTTAGTAAGGATAACAAAGCAGTGCTGGCTTGTGCTGACATGAAAGCTTACAGCCACTTCTGGGAACTGCAGTACTTCTCAAAACTGCATTTATAAGAATTCCTGCTTGTCAGAAGTGTTTATAGATCTTCTGGCTTTGAAAGTTGGAATTCTGGTTGTGTTTTATTATTCTGGTTAACAAGAAAGATTTTTAAAGAAAAAGGTTTTATCAGAAAAATTCTTATGAATGCAGCATTGTATTAATAAACATAGGAGCCACTGTTTTGAAAATCATCACAATTATAAGGGATTTTTTTCTTTCACATTTTTCCCTATCATGCAAAACATCTTATAAATCATAGCAAGAACTACTGTTCTGAAGAACTACTGTGTTCTTCGTACCAGAAAGCTCGTAGGTCACCAAATACAAGAAAGGGTTCAGAAGATTTAATCTGTAACCATTTCACGTGGCTTATATACAGTTTATAGGCTTTGACTTTTGCATTATTAATACGGTCCATTTCAGAAGATTCACTGAAAAAGCATTTTACCCCCTCCACCTAGAAGACTCTCTACTTTTCTGCACCCATTGATTATCCTGGCCCAAATGTTTAGCTCCAGTATTCAAGAAAAGTTTTGTACAATAACCACTGGTGTTTCAAAAATTGCAAGTGCCATCTATTTTCTGTTACTGGAGAGAGAAATGCAGTGAGGGATTTCTTTTCTTTGTTTCCTTGGATTTTATTTTTGTTTTTTCATATTTGACTGTATCTTTGCAACGTGCCTTCTCTAAAAATAAATGAATAAATAAAAACAGAAGAATAAAATAAAAGGTCTCTTTGCTGAAGTTCTTCTAGTCATAAAGACCAAAGATCCAATCTGCGCAGTGGTAAGATTATATTTCAGAAAGAAATTTAAATGCATGTAGACAGGTATTGCAGTGCCATTGGAAGAGATTGTTTGAATACCTTGCAATTAAGTAGGTTGCAAGGGGCATCTGGCAGGACTTTGTCTGTAAAAACAGTTTGGAAATATCTTGAAGGGGCAGAGACCTTGATGGCAATTTCAGCTTCCAGCCTGCTTAGGCCTACAAATTCTGGCATCTGCCACCACGCAGCTGCAAGCAGAGTAAAGTCCACTTTTCGTGGTGAATTTTCCTGGTAGAAGGAAGTTCTCAGGCAAGTTTACCTTCCTTTTTGCCTTTAATCTACTTATGCAGTTGCTGTGAGTGCTGCTGGGCAGAGGAGAGTTTCAGAGCATATTTTCCAAAGAGGTCCTGGATCATTCAGTACAGCCCTGTGCAGAAACAGGATATCATACAGAGAGATTTTCCCAAGGAGGGAGCACAGAACAGTGACTCTTGGAGTGAACTCCTTTACTAGTGGCTACATAACACTTTCAACCTGCAGTAACAGTTGTAGTACCTATAGTTAAAGGCAAAATCTTACAACCATTTTCTTCAATACATAAACTGTAATTGTGATGTTTTTACCCAGGCTTTGAAAGTACTTCTATCGTAGGAATGTCATAATATCCTTGTCATTGCAGAAGGCAAGAAAGTAACACATACAATTGCTTCTGCTTGCAGATGGGTCAGTGTTAAATCTTCAAATGGAAAAAATTACTTTCAAAAATGTTTTATTTTGGAGATTGGGTTCACACCAATTTCAGGCGACTCGCTCTATACAGTTGCTGATGATTGACTTGTAAATATCATAAAATAGCTCTCACTTCCTTGCAAATTGTTTTGAAATTCCCATTGGTATCTTCTGAATAGCATAATCTACCAGCCATATTCCTATATACTACAAAACTATATAGTTTTTCATTTGCTGTGTCGTGCAGAGTGGAAGCCATAAGGCTGTAAAACGCAGGACTTCTTTCAGTCTGTGAGATCAGGAGTAGCCAGCATCTGCAGTAGAGGCCTTACTATCTTGCTCTAACTAGCTCAGCTCTGAGTAAACTCTGTGACTTTTTCAGGCACTGTTGGAGAAGAAGAATAAAGTCAAGGAGCCAAAGAAGCCTCTTCACTTCCTTGAAAAAGTAGAAAAGCCTGTCCCTCGTCCCCCTACTCCAATTTTGGAAAAACCATCAATTGTAAGTGGAATGATTTTAGCACTATTCATTTATTTTCTTTTGATCCTCCATTATTTCCTACCTGGTTGTTGAAGGAATGCCCAGAGAAGGAAGGAAGTGAGTTTTATCTTTTTTGTTGTCATTATGTATTTGTCTTACAAATACAAGTGCATTTCTTAAGCCTCTCTTATTTATTTATTCTACGAAGATTCTAGTAACTGAAGAACTGGAAATCTTTTACCTTACCTGTTGGCTAAATCCTTTAATTAGCTTCCATTTATAAAGAAATAAATTAGTAGATGTGTTGTTCCCTTGCTCATTGGGAACAAAGAAGCAATCATAGATCTCAGCAAACATGAATTTATTCAGCGTCTTCCATCCTTCTGATCTGACAACACCATCATAATCCAGGGGAGCTATTAAGTTTAGTCCCATTGAAGTCCATAAGACTTTGGTACTTAGCACTGAGAATGCACTTCATTAATTTGCTGAAATGAAGCTCTTGTCATTGCAAAGGACTCAGTCTTTGATGAACGTGCTCAGTTTAGGTGACGGTTCACCTTCATTTTTCTGTGGAGATCAGAACGGCAGTAATGTGTCATGAGGATTGTGATGTGCCATAGGAAAAAAACAAAACAACTTCTTAGGGGAGCTGCAACTTCTTTTCTGTTTTTGAAGTAACGCACTTAAGAGATGGTTGCCCCAGTGGATGGCTTTGTCTGCTTATTAACACCATTTTCCTGAGGCAGTAAAAAATCAGACATAATTGCCATTTAAACTTGTGAATTTTGGAGAGTCACACAGCCATGAAAGCACGAGAGAAAAAGTCTTATTAAGCCATCCATGCCATCTTCCCTCATGCAGTATGATGATCTATGTTTTATACAGTCCATTTTAAGATGAATGCAGCAAGAATATCTGCTTGGGGAGAACTTTCTACAGTTTTACTAACACCTAGCTATTAGGTGTTGTATTGGAGTAGTACATTTACACTACTTAGATACAAGACTTTGGAAGATTCTTTTAGACACAAGGAAAGAAATCAGAAAAATGCATCTCTTAATCATAGTCATTCTTGAAGCTATTTTCAGATTATATCTTCTTTTGGAAGGGTTCCATTACAATACACTTCCACTTAGATTAATTCTGCCAACATTTGGTTGATTTCCAAATATCCTTATGTGTGAACACTTACATGATTTGAGCTCTCCAGTGAAGAGATTTGTGAAATCAGTCCACTTCAGCCACCAAAGAGCATCTGCAGCATCACCTGCCTACCTTACAGAATCCAAGTAAGCTTTATCCTACCAGTTTTCTCCTGAAAGCAAGGTCATTCTTTCTTGCTGGTTTGTAGCAGGTGGATTGAAAGGTTGATGATTACTCTTGCTAAAGCATTGTTTGTAGCACCAAACAGTACAACTCCAAGTACAGAAGATTACATCACACAAAAATATAGACTAAATCTTATAGTAATTTGCCTTACCTGTATTGCATATATGTTGATTGTCTCCACTTCCATGCCTGGAGGGTTTGTAGGCCTCACCTCTGCAGCCAGGTGACGTGGTGCAGTTTAGCTTTCTAACTAGACTGTGAATCTATCCTTTCTTTCCATAGGAAAAGAACACACCAAATCAAAAGACAGTCCTTCTCTCATTCCATGCTCTTCCCAGCACTTCTCAAATGCCACTTTTCCATTCAAACTTTATAGGCTCTTTATGTAAAAAAAAAACCTTCTTTCAATTTTTAGTTTTCTTTTTATCTTTCCCAGGTACCTAATGAGCTTTCTCTCCCTGCTGCTGTCAGTTCAGCAAGATCCCTCAGCAAGAAAAAATGCTGCCCATTCTATTTAAAATAAGCTTTTTTTTTTCTTCTCCTGTGGACCTGTTCTCTTTCTCATTACATACCATCATTTTTCCAAGTTGTATCAGTCATACAATTCTACACTAGCGAACTTCTTGAAGAAACAGATTGCACTCTAGGGTAATTTATTTTACTTCCAAACTATCAATTTATTGAGTCTTAATTTACCAAGTTACTCTGATGAAGGTCACCACTGGAAGAAAATATAAGACAAAAAAAAAAAAGGATATGTTGCTTTTTAATCCCTTTATTTATAGTTAACAGCTCTCTTGCAGCTCCTTAAATAATTCTTCTATCCCCTTAGTGTCTTCACCTGTAAATTTGTGTTGCTCACTGTCATTTTGCCAACTCAGTCAAGCGATAAGTCATACTTCTAACATGTACAGTCATTTTCTCCATCAGTATCTTAGTATTAGATACTTCTCTCTAGAGACCCTCTAAAATCTCAGATAGAACCTCATTATATTGTCTTGCTCCCCCACCTCTTATAAAACATGGAAGTATGTATTATTCTGACTCATATTCCTTTCATTAGAAGAAAAGCTCACAAACAATTGAGAAATTGGTATTAATTTCACTTTTTGATAGTTAGGTGGATACTCCATGGAAATCTCAGCCTCCAAATAAATTGGCAGTTATTGTGTGGATTTTTGTTTGGTTTTGTCAGGAGGAAGAGGAAAGAGAACTGGCAGTGATCTGCTTGCAGAAATTGCTCCGAGGCAGGGCTATTCAGAACAAGGTACTTTGTGTGTCTTGGTTTATGTCTCTCTTCAGAATGACGGTGGGAATGATTGGAGGTGTTTGCAATCTTTCTTCCTCAGAACTAATCTAGGGTAATGAGGATTATGCAGCATATCCTCCTGTATGGCCTCTGAAGTCCTTCAAGTCTTCGCTCTCCATCCCAAATTTTTTACAGGAACATTTAGGTTCCTACCAGTTTGTGTCTCCCTGCCATGCATTCAGCTGTTTAATTAGATGCTTCATAACAGAATTACTCAAATGGCAAATTCTAGACTAGATCTGGATTATGAGTACATTTTGCCTTGATTATGCCAAGATCCCATGCACACAAGAACAGCACAAAGCTGTGCCAAGTGAGTTTCATACTGGATGTCTGCAAAAATTTCTGTACCTTGAGGGTGGACAAACGCTAGAACAGACTTCTAAGAGAGAGAGCTGGTGACCCATGCCTGTCAGTGTTTAAGACACTTGGATAAATGCCCTCAGTAATATGCTTTAACTTTTGGTTAGCCTTGCAATGATCAGCTGCTTGGACTCACTGATCTTTGTAGGTCCCTTCCAACTAAACTATTCTGTCCTATTCATGGAGAAAAAGTGTGCGCTTTGTTAGCAGAACACGTTGAATATATTCTCTGTTTAACATGCTTGTTTATCTAACTTTATCTAAAAGATGTTTGAAGAGAAGGAGAAGAGGCTGGAACTGATCCAAGAGCTGCGCACCACTCATGCACTTCAAGAGAATGGACAACTGCTTCTGAAAGTACAGGAGAAAATGACCCGGGCCTTACAGCAGCAGCATGACTTGAAAATGCACAAGGTATACCTATAAAGATGGAGAGGTTGACTAACCACGCTCCTCTAGCAGGGCACTGTGCTTGCAGCAGCATCAGCACTCTCACTTATTTGTTTTCTATTATCCACAGCACAGATAGAAGCCCAAATAACTCAAATCTGTGGGGCTTTTAATGAGATTTTTGAGATTCCCCAGAGCCTGCACAGTATCAAGAGCAGTCTGAGGCACCCTGACCACAGCTGCAACCCAAGCTGTTACTCGCTTATTTATAATCCCGTGGCTCTGAACAAACTGCACCTTCAGACGAACCTCATTTTACCCACATTTCTGTCTCTTTGACTGGTGCTGTGACCTGGCATCACAATGTCTGCTAGTCACTTGCACCTATCAGATGCCCTTTATTGAATGCATGTTTATACTGCATCATTTTCCAATTCCTTTTCTAGCTTGGCACTCCCTTAGTCTCCTCTTCAGGCACGAAGTATCAGTGGATTTATTTTGTAAATCTTGGAGGGATTGAGACTTCTAGGAATTTAGCAGTGATGTCGTATTGCTGTTGCCACTGGTCCAGAGAAGAGAGAAATTCTAGGCCTCATTCCCTACCAAGAATCTAGAGAGTGCTGGGGACACAAATTCTCATCCTATTTCCTCGCAGGGCCATGGCCTTCCAGAGCACAGTTAATCGAATGGCAGTCTCAGACTGGAGAGATGATAAAGAAATTCTGTCCATCTCAGATACTGAGTCACTCCCACAATCCTGCAGGTGTTTGTGCATAGTTTTTACCACTCTCCTCGTGTTTCACTGACAGACTGTGAGACAATACTATGGTTTGCATATTGTGCTAACAGCATCCACTAGCCACTGGTGTGACAGAGATGAAGTCAAGTTACTGCATCTTGCTAGGTGGGCAGCAGCAAAATCTCCCCTCAGATCCCAACGAAAAATAAATCAGGTGTGCGTGTTTTGCTGTTTATGATTTTTAGATGCTCCCCAACATACAGAGAGCCTGAATATAAATCATAGAATCCAGGATTCATCTAATGAGAAATTAATAAAAAACGGAGCTTTTTGCTCTGTCCCTGGAGGCCTGAGTAAGAGTGAAGGAGAAAGCTGTTCAGATATAATGACGTTCAGAAAAGAGAGAGCAAATGTAAAAGATGCTGACCTCTGATCTCAAAATTTCCTTTTGGGAGAGCCACTATCCCCCTCTGCTGGCACTCCTCTGCACTTGCTTTTTTTTCTTTTTTTTTGTTTCCCCTCTTTTAACTAAGTCTCGGAAGGCACACAGTCCAAGGCTCAACTCTTTAAATATTTAGAACTTTAAAACTCTGGAATGCATGTGCAATAGTTGTGTAAGTGTATGCCTATTTTGGAAAGCCACTGATGATTCATAGTCCTGTAGTTCTAGCTGGTCACAATTTTTTCAGATTTTTAACTTCCCTGGTATAGAAAAAGGCATTTTTTTAAGAAATGTTGAGACTGAAATTCCAGATAAAATTGTCAAAGATGAAAATTTCGAACTTGAGGAACAGCAAAATCCTAAGACAGGTTTGTTCCTGTGTTGCTCTCCCCCATGTCATGTAGGTTTTGAACACAGCACCTTGAGCAATAAAAAGAAAGAAGCTTGTTAGCTCCTTGATATTCATCCCTGAAGAATGGTGAGTTACTGTATTGCTGTAAACACCATCCTGAACACCTATGGGCTGAGCATTGTCACTTCTAGGTGCATGCAGCACTGACAATCCCACTTTCTTTTAAAAACCGCATGAGCAAACGGCATAGCAGTATAAGAAAGATGATTTATTTCTACTTGTCTGGCATATTTCACCTCCAGTATGCTTTGAGTTCTACATTCAAGTCTTTTCTGCTATTGCCTGTTTATTCCAACAGAGACACAACATGCCAGCCAGCTCCAGACATTGTTTCCTGCCTAAGACTGTCCACAGTCCATGCTGGAGATAATGTACTTACCATACATCTTGTCACTTTCTGAGATACAGTCATACATACCAGGTCCATAAAACAAGTCACAAGCAGCACTGTGATGCCAAACACCTGAACTCGGGTCTCAGCTCTGTCACAGACTTTCTGATTTTCCATTGCCTGGATTTTGAGTTTTCTTGAGCACTTGTGCAAACTGAGTATAATCACTATTGATTTGAACTTGATAGACTCTAGTACTTAACTTGTACAGCTTTAGGGAATAACTCAGTACCTAAACCTCTTGATTTCTGTATCACCTCTGCACTTTGCTCACATTGTGAATGTCCAACCCAAAAGGAAAGATTTCTCTGAGACAGCCTTGAACTGCAACAGACATGATGAGTCCTCAAAATAGCATAGAAATGTGGCTGTACTCAAAATTGTACAGCTTCCTAAGCTTTGACTCAAGCTCCCTGTTTGTAAGAATTGAGGCTTTACTTTCCAGATGTTAAAAGCTGTCTTTGCATCTTTTGATCCTATTTTTTCTAGCTGAGCTTAGCACAGAAAGATGAAGGATATGCAAAGCAACCATTTCATTGTCACTTTTTATTTTCATCTCCCTTTTCTCAGGCTGGGGAATTGGAGCAGTTTCCCAGTAGCAGAAAGAAGGCCCTAGTGACTGTTCTGATTATACTCATAGACAAAAAAACAGTTCAGAATAGCTGGAATACAGTGCATCTAGTGTTTTATTTCCTCCCACTCACCCAAGCGAGGAGACTGCTTGTCAGAGTGTAACAGGACCAGGACCATCCTCATGGTGGCTATTTTTACCATCTTTTTGCCTCTTTGTACCATCAGGGCCAGTTCCACATTACAGTATGTGCAATCCAGGTCTGTGCATGTGAAACAAGAATGCAGAACTCCCCACGGTCAATGTGAGGGGATGCTGTAGGGCTGTCTCACATGCCTGTGGTCGTCCTGAGACTCAGAGGGACATTCCTGAGGCTTGTAACACAATTCTTTGCATTTTTTTATTTTTTTTTTTAAAGCTGTCATCAATGGAAAGCCACTTGGCCTGGGAAGAAGGAAGGGCACTGGCAAACATGTTTGATTTCCTATCCAAAGAACTGCTGAGGCTGCAAGAAGAGCGGAGGATCCATGCTTTTGTCATGCTGGCTGAGAGGACCAGGCGGATGCGGGAAGCGGAGGAGAGTGGGCGCCGACAGGTGGAAGAGAGGCAGCGGCAGGAGGAAGATGAGATCTTCAGACAGGCAAGAGAAGGAGACTGGTGGAACTGTAGGCAGCTTGTGGGAAGGTCTAGGTGGAAGGGAAGCACTTCAGATTTCACCAAGGTGGTGATCAGGGGAAAGGCTTAGTGAAGAGAAGGTGATTGCATCCTATAAAGGTCATCTGCACACAGTTAAGGATGATCTGAGTGCAGACAGATCTGTTGAGCATTCAGTTACACATCTTGAGTAAGTTTCCAAAGTTCCACAAACACTTCTAGAAAACAGATGAACCTACACCATCTTTAGGATTAATGTTTTGTCAGAACCTGGTCTGTCCAGCAGAACTGCTATGGGCTCTCCCAGGAAAGATGCCTTTAAGCAAGATTTTCAAATGATTTTGTCCCCAAAAGTAGACTGTAATAACAAGGGGTACCATAAGACTGTTTTGAAACAATAATGAATAACGTAACTGTGAAGCCCAGAAAGTAGTCCTGAGATTATCCTATTCCATAACTAGAATGTAGTCCTGTTCCTGTTCCCTAGCTCCTGACTGCATGAAGCAGTTGAAACAAATGAGTGGGAGCCTAATTGTCTAAACCAATAATTTCCAAAATTGATGGGAGGAAATTAATACCAGGAGAGTCTGAAATTAGGATTGTTTTTCTTTTAATTTTAGCTTTTTCACTTTTCCAGTTCTCTAAGTGGCAAACAAGAAGGTCAAAATGCAATTAGTTTAAGCCCTTCAGACTAGCAGAGGGAAAAGCTCCATTTCTAGAATCTTTGCTCTACATCCATTGTAAGGAAACCAATAATTTTACCTTGTTATTCATGTATCTGCGTCTGGCTCAGTGGAAGCTTCTCCTCCAGGATTTGCTTGAATGAAAGCTGATTAAGTTACTGAAGCCAACGCTAGCATTTGTTATTTGGCAGCTGTTCAGGAGCCCATGAGAACTGAAGAGGCAACTGCTGTTGGATTCATAGTGAACCTGCTGCAGAAATGTATCTGGTGATAAGTTTTGCATCTATTTCTCCACTTAGAATCATAGAATCACCAAGGTTGGAAAAGACCTAAAAGATCATCCAGTCCAACCGTTCACCTATTCCCAATAGCTCCCACTAAATCATGTCCCTCAACACAACATCAACTTGTTTCCTTTTGTTCTCAGATGGAGTTATTGGAGAAGAATCTTTTACTCAAGTTATTCTTCCCAGAAAGGGCCTTTGAATCTAAACCTCCGGCTGGCCTGCCTGAAATTGAGAGTGGCTGGTGATTTTATTTCTCTGGAAATCTGGTTCCATTCTCTTAGCAAGGCAATGGGCAGTAAGAGCAACACCTTGGTATTCTGTTCCAGGTGGTGAAAATGCACCAGAGCACTGTTGACTCCTACTTGGAAGACATTATCTTAAGTAGCATGGAGAACACAGCTGAAGAGCAAGCAAGGGAAGAAGTTCAGAGAATGGCTGTAGAAATCAATGACATTGCTTATGAACTGGAAAGAAGGTGTGTTCCTAAAAAGCACATTGAGGTCACTTACAGCAGTTTAGAACCTGCCTAGCTGCCTGCATCTGGGGTTACATGTACAGTCTAAGAGAAAGGAAGGCTAGAGCAGTACTGTTCATGACCACCTCATTAGTGTGACTGCTGGATGGGAACCACACTGTTACTGTCTGGTGCACGCATATAAATTTGTCAGAGCTTTATTTTTATGCAGCATGTGCCAGGTTCCCTTTGGAAATCACTTGTGGGATCTGTGAATCACCCTTTTTAGACTTCTCCATGCCAATGTGATGCTGTGACTGAACTTTAAGAGAATCTGGGAACCGCCTAAAGCAATGCCCATTCATGCTGGTCTTTTCATTTATTTACAGTATTACAGAAAATCAGTTTGAAAGAGATGCTAAAGATACAGCTGTACAGAAATCTCTCCTTCTGAGGTAGCCGTTCTTTTAGAAAGTGCCAGTTTCCATGGGCTCGGTCATATTGATAGTGCTTTGTGTAGAGTAACTTGTTGAGAACGCCGTGGTCTTGTGTTGGGCTGGGGCATCGAGAATGAATACTTTTCAGGACCTGCCAAGGCTCTGATTCAGTTTCTGTGCCCTTTCTTTGGATCCGAGCCATAAAAATCCCAATGACACAGTGACTGCCCTATGGTACAGCAGCCGTCTGGTTTGTAACGAGATGAATACGAGCAGAATGTCAAAATCCTTGGGGAGAATGAAACGTAGATAATGCATGCAGCCCTTGGGCCAGTTGGGAGCCCGCTGAGCACTGGCATGGTAAAGAGCATGGGGACTGCTGCAAAGTCACAAAAGGGAAGAGTTCAGCAAACTCAGCAAAGGGCCAAAAACTAAATTGTGAAAGACTCAATTCCTTGGAGCTATGTTTGTGGGTTTGTCATCAATCAGGGCCGGGCTCCCAAATACCTCAGAGGATGAGGAGTCTCGGGTGGCCAGAAATGCTGCTTTTCCAATGCAGTGTTGAAGACACTGGCAGTGCAGAGGGCAGCAGTCACACTGTCACGGCACTGCATCATCAATTTTTTTGGATAAATAGACTGAGCTGATGATTACTGCCATGACTCACTTGAAAACAGTGATAATATTTACAAGGAAATTGTGTGCTTGCAGAGGTATTCTGGAAAGAAAAATGAAATACTAATATTACTTTCTGCATCTGTTCTGTAGTCGAACTCACCTACAGTCAGAAGAGATTGTAGCAGAGCTGGTTTATGCTTTCCTGATACCAGAGATTGAGAAAATGTCTATCAGAGAAAAAGGTGAGGAGCCAAGATTTATGCTGTTTTTGAACTGCTTCACCATCCTTACTCTTGCTCACCGAAAGGAAAAAATACAGTGCCAGGAGATGCCTCAGCTCTCTGAGATGCCTCTTCTGCACTGTGCAGGTCCCTTTTCACCAATTTCTCATGATCTTGATGGCCCGAATTGGATCTGATGCAATTTGCATCTGCAACATATAACTGTAGAAGTGGAAAAAAAGAAAAAACACTACATCCAGAAACGAACAGAAAAAATCTTTAGGCAGCATGGTTGTGAGTTGTGTGTTATGTGGCAATTTGTAAAATCTGGAAGTCTTTAACAAGCAGATTACTTAAACATGGGCCGTATCTGAAAGGAATATTATATCCTTTCTGATGGTTTTTATTCACAATCAGTTAAAAACCAAAGCCACCAATAAGGTTTTAAGGATGACTGTAGTGGCACCATGCTTTAAGGAGAGAATCTTGCTGTGCTAAAAGGCATTTCTGTATAGTCAAAATGGAAAAGTATATCTCAAAATACAGAGGAGAGGACACCAGAAACCCATGACCTCGATGGTCATGAATAAATGTTTTTAACTCAGTTTTCCACTGACTAGCATACTCAGAAGGTTGGTGACTGAACCAGTCATCCATATAAAGAAGATGTAACTTATGAAGAGCACTTGCATCACTGCTGAGTCTGAAGTGGTCCTTGCCTCATTACACTTCTCTGCCTTGAAAACAAAGGCGCTTTTACTTTATTCTGATTTTTTTTTTTAATGAAAACACAAACCTTTCAAATATGCTTCATGATCTTGGAATTGTGCAAACCTCTTTATTCCTGGTTTGTGTGTTTGTCACAACAGCATCTGTTCAGCAGCTGACAGTTCTGTGTGAGCTTAAATCAGCTCTCTTCTCCCTAGCCTTGCTTCTGCACTCCTTCCAAGGCAGGATGATGTAATTGTAGTCAATGAAGCCTGCAGCATAGGTAATAGTACACACAGATTAGCCGGTGTCAGAAAGGAGAACAGAAAGAGAAGACCTGAACATGGCTTAGGATTCTAGGTATACCAAGGTACCATCAATAAGGAAAATACAGACCTTAAAATACAGACCAGAAAATACAGTGCTTAAATGCAACAGTAGCTAATGGATGAAACATCTCAGAAGTGCTCCCACGAAGCAGACTTAAAAAAAATAATCATCAAAGGATCCACTGTCTCAGATACAGTCAAAGTGGCTGGAAGGAAGATCTAGACCCAGGAAAAAAGGGGGCTGGAAGAAGAGCTAGAGCAACAGGTGATAAAGTACAAGAGCTCCTTCAAACGTAGTTAGGCAAAGTTTGGCACAGTATTGTGACAGAAGCACTCACAAGAGATTCAATACCAAATGTGTGTCTTAATGAATAGGCTCTGCCATAGACCTCCTTCATAGTGAGACCTTCAGGGAAGCAGAAATTGGTGACTATTCCTTGTGAACCCAAAGGAAATATTACCAAAGAGCAATGTTAGCTCTCACGAGCACATTGGCATATTGCATTTCCGTGGAAGCTTTTAAAGCTTTTCCCATTGTGAGCCAGCTTATTCATTATGAAACTGTGTTTTATTGACCCAGCACATTCCTGAGCACGCACATTCCTTGAAGCTATCAGGAAGCAATCTGAGAGCACAGCTGCGTGGCCTGCAGAGGAGTGAGTCTATTTGTATCACAAAGATTTGAGGGCTTCCAAGTTCAGACTTTCCTTCAGCTTTCCCTTAAGCATCTCTATTTTGCCATTAAGTAGACTCCTCTCCTTGCTCCCTTTCTCTCCCGTTCCTATGCATAAAAGCAGGAATTATCCAGAGCTGGCTCATCCTGAGACACTTCTGCACATCACTTCTGAACAGTCCCTCACTGAAGGTCAATGTTCTCGTGTGAAAAAAATGCTTTTAAAAGGAGAAAACTCAGCCACCAGTTTTTAACCCTCCTTGTAGATAGAGGAAGGGACTGCAGTGACACCAGGAGAGTACTCCCAATATAGTACATGCAATTCGTGCACGTGCAACTGAAGCCAAACTGCCTTGGACAGTCAAAGCTCTCCTGGGAATTGAGAGCTGGCTGGTGAGGGTTTGCTTACCAAACCCAGGCTAGATCTGTTGTATTTGCTGTCAGCAAAATGGAGCTGGAATATGGATAAACATAAACAGGCTGGGTGAGTAATGCTGAGCAAGGAGGGCTGTCTGAACAGCAACAGACCAAAACAAGAAGTTTTGGGCTTCTGCAGGGAAGCAACATGATGGCAGCCACTTCTCACTGCTGGAACATTCCCTCGCCCTCCTACAAGCACACAGTATTTCATTCCCTGTGATTGTTTATCAGAGTCATAAGTCTAGAGACAGAAAGACAGAACAAAGAATAGCAGAGATGAATTGTCGGGTCAGTGATTTAGCTTGGGTAATTACTTCCCAAGAGGTGGGCTGGAAATCTGTACAAATGAGATTGCTCGAAATCCATGTAACTCAGTAAAGAACAATTCCACAGGAGCAAAAGGGAGATGATAGGATGGGTGGCTTAATGAATCTGCACTGTCTCCATGTCTTTCTTTGAACTCTTTCTCAGTGTAGGCATAATCATAAAATAAAGAGCAGGTTTCAGCTCTGCTCTTCTAGAAACCTGCTACAATTTACAGGCACTGAAGGAGAAGCTAATTTAAGGCCCACTAACCTGTGCAGTTGTGCCCTGAGCTGGAAAGGATGACACGGGCTGTGCTTTCCACTGGCAGGGGGAGCTCATCTTCCAAGTGAAGTGCACAGTTGGGTGCTGCTATTAGGTGGCAGTAGAACACTTTCACCAAAGTTGTTGGGGTGTGATGTTTTTCCTGCGATTGGCTTTTCCAGAGCTCCAGAAAGGCCAGGAGCTGCCCCTCCCACCTCCCCCACAGAGAGCCCTGTGCTGCATGTTCCCAAGGAAAAGCCTTTCTTACCTCTTTTCCTTTGCAGTGAGGCAATCCCAAAGGAAACACATCTATGCTGCTCATCAGATCATCCATGGGAGTGTGGAAGAGTTATTGGCTGATCCAGCATTACACCAGGAGATGCCTGCCAGCAAGATGAGGGGAGCTCCTCCTGTTGAGACAGCCAGCACTGCTTTGGGCAGGACCAACAGTGGACAGACTGTGGCTGATAGCTCTCACTCTGCCCCAATTGCACAGGATGTGTGTAAACCTCAGCGTGAAGAGAGCCCACAGGAGCCAGCAGTGAGCCCTGCTGATGGACCAGACAAAGATGGCATGGCCTCCTAGAGATATGAATACGGTGAGTTTCCCTTCCCCTCACTGATCTGAGCTCAGAGCATAGGGAAGGAGATAGAAGCACATTACATTTACTTTTTCCAAGGCGTCCAGAATGCAAAATTCATTATTTGACCCTTCAACTGCCCACCAGCTATGCTGTCTTGGAACCAAACAACAGTGTGACAGTCCCAGTCCAACCCCTCTACCCATCGACCACTGAACCTCATTAGCTAATTTTTCTCTTCTAATTATTAGAGAAGTTTGAGTGAGAGACCACTTTTGATATTCTTACTTGTATTCCTGGAGCAGGCCAACAGTGATGTGCTCCTGAGCTTTTGATGGTGCTTCCTTTTATCAGTAACACTGAATGACAAAACATTCCAGCAGTGGGATGTATCAAGGTGAGCCCCTGCACACAGCTTTTCTCAAGCACATCCCACTGCTTGCCTTAATGGAGTAAAGCAGAGAGCAAGTTGTATCAACAGCACCACTTATGGGCATTGTAGTTGAATGAAACCCCTCTTTGATGAGCTACTAATTGTGCCAGACCTTGCACCATCTTTTCATGTCATGCACTTAGGAAAGACACCCTTGGCCTCAGTGAGAGGCTTCTGCCAGCCAGGCAGCCTCTGTCACTAACAATCAGATCTGGACCTCTTTGTGCTTTTTCTCATCCTGATGGAGACCACTTCTGGGTAGTACCTTATTTCTTAGAACAGCATTAGTCGCTCTGCCCTTCATCTATGGGGGAAAAGCAGGAAGAATGCTGGCACATTCTGATGTGCAGGCAGGGGTTGCTCAGGCTCAGGATGCCAGCAGCCAGCGGGCCGTAGACACAGGCAGTGAGACACAGCATCTGAGCAGGAAGCTGTCAGCTCTCCAGCACTCACCTGTCAAAACTCTCTGGGTTCAGCGTCTCAGAGGTACGTTTATACCAATCCCAACATCAAACTCAAGCACAGCCATGACCAAACACCTCAAATGCTTGCTTACTCACCGTTCCTAGAGTTATAACTTACTCAGCAATGCCAGTGCGTATGATATCTGCGTACTTCCAGCACCTCTTTGGACCTGATTACCTGTGCTTTGTGTTGGGGAGCCACAGGCATGGTCCAGCTCCAGCTAATTGTGAGCATTGCTCCATTCCTTCAAAACCAGCAGTTGTTCAAAAATCCAGGCCCACCAGGGCATTTCTGGAAATATTTTGCATCACTTTTCCACTCAGTGGACTGAAGTGGGCGAGTGGCAGATAGAAGAGAGAGAGGAAAAAAAAAATGGAGTACTCCTGTAGTCCACTGAGCTGTAAATGAGGACTGGAGAGAGGAACACTGCTGCACCACAATGCCATTGCCAGGCTGTCAGCCCTGGACCAGGGGCACCAGACAAGAAGGGGGTGGGGGGGCTCTCAGCCTCTGTAATGCTGTGAAGTCTGGCAGGAGTCAGAGATGGGTGATGGGTTTTGGTGAGGATGCTGTGAGGATGAGTGTGGCAGGGTTTATGGACTGGGGAAAATTCCCATGGTGTTCCTCGCAAAGCACTGGAAACAAAGGTAACAAATGTAGAAACAGAAAGCAAAATCACAGAGTGTGGGAGGAGCGGGTTTGCAGGGCATTGGTTCCTTTGCCTCAGGCCACCTTGGACAAATTTAGCCTGGTTGAAAGAGGGGATAACATGAATCACAAGATCCAGTGTAATAAGAGTGACATGGAAAACTTGATGCAGCTCAACAGGAGAACAGGAAGAGCAAGCCAACGAAGCATTCATTGTATTTCTGAGATTGCACGTGGAAATAAACTTCCTCTGTGTGGCATGCTGTACAATTTGTCGTGGTTAAAAGACAAGAAGCATTCTAACAGGTGTGGGAATAGATGTAGGGAGCAGCATCCCTGCCTTCCCCAGGGATGCAGCCCAGCACGGCAGCCAGGAGCAGGGGATGAGTGCTGTGTGCAGGCTGAGCTAAACATGCCGTGGCTTTTGGTGTGATCTAAGGGACGCTGTCAGGGAAAAGCCCTCTTCTCCACATGATGTTGCATTGCATGGATACTGAATGCCAGGGCAAGGTTTCTGTGGGAAACTGCTCCAGAAACTGCTTTCAGTCATCACATGTGGGGTTACAGAATGTGCTTTGAGAAAGAAAATGAGCAGAGTGAGAGGGAATTGAGCTCATAAATCAGTAGCACAAGAATGCACCATTCCCTCCTGGCAGGAACCAGAACAGCCCTGGGGAGGAGCTGCATCTGAAACAAACACAGCAGATGCCTTCAGGGCTGCACCAGTACAGCACAGGCACCTGGATGATGGCACTTGCCCTGCACTGCCTCCAGAAGCTCCTGGGAGGAGCCTGGCAGCGACATACAGCTCTTCTGTGTCCCAATGGGGCCTGGAGGGACCACAGAACACAAGCTCCAGAGGGGCAGTGAGTGTGGCTGGAAATTGGTCCCTTTGGAGTGATAGAATGAAGGCAGATGGTCTCAGGTCTTCCCTGTGGCCTTGGCTCTCGCAGTGTGGGGTGAGAAGATCCTTTCTGCAGTTCCAACCAGCAGAAAGGCCTATCGATGGGATAACATGAAGGCAGCACACCTTTCCCCAGACGCTAACTGATAACAAACCCACAGTCTTCTGTCTCTCCTGCCTCCCTTAAAGAGCAGCACAGCCATCACACAGCAGCTGCACTCCTGCTCTCTGAGCGGCACTCTGTTCTGGTCTCACATGGGTACTTGGGCTCTGCCTGCTGCTTTGCTGGGCTCAGCTCAGCCCTCGCACAGCTGCAGGGTCATAAAACCACAAGCACAGTCCTCACACACTGAAGGCTTTGCAGGGCTCAGACGTGGCTGTTACTGACTCAGCCACCTCCTGGAAGTGCTCCTGCCACAACCTGGGAAAGAGAGGCTGCTCTGGCTCCTGCTCCAACAGCATAATTCCATCTCCCTTTCCTCCACCTCCTGCTGCCTGGTCCAGTCCACTCCTCTCAGCCCGTCTCCACATGCCAGAACCCCATCCTTTGTGTAGGGGCTCAGAGATCCCTTCCACCCTCCCCAGCAGCCCCCTCTGCACGGCCATCCTGGTACCCTCAGGTCAGTGCTGGACACAGGGCCGTCCATCCCCTTCCTTGGGGAGAGGCCAAGCAGTGTGCAGTGCTGCAAACTGTGCTGAGCAATGGCAGCTGTGCAGCACGGACCCGGTGCCGTTGCTCCTGGTGACAATGGTGGCAGTGAGCACGAGCAATGCCAGTGCTCTGAATACAGATGCAGCAACACGGAGCCATGTTCCTATGTAACTCCTAAACGACAAGCACCCGCCCTGCTGCCCTCCCATGCACCCACTCAGCAGCATCTGCTTGTTCACTGTTTCCCCTCTCCAGCATTTGAGAAGCAGCCGCTCCCATCAGCACTACGAAGCTGCATTTGCTTCTCTCTCCCTGAGCTGCTGCAGGACTGATCCTAAGAATGAAATCTTTTTTTCTTTTTTCTTCTTCCTCTCTATGAGTCAGCAATAGCCAGCATCTGTAGTCAAAGCCTTTTGCAAACACCGTGTTGATCCCACACCAACTGAACCCGCCAGCCCACATCATTCTCCCACCTGGCCAAATGCAAACCATTTCTCATCCCTGGAAAAGCCCCAGATCTGTCATTTCTTGCAGAGCCAGCTGCCATTGACAACCCAGCCTGATCCCAGGCCTCTTAGAAAGGGGAAAGGGCTCTGACATGCACAATCCAAACACTACCCAGCTGGGAGCCACTGCACGTCCCAGGATTGTGAACCGCAACGTCTTGAGGAACATTAATGGTACAGTTCAGGTCAGTACAGAAAACATCTTCAAATAATCTGTTATACTCCACTCTCGCCTGGCAAAGGGCCTGATTACGCAGCCAGGTTACTGAAAGGAGAGGGCAGGCACATTGCAAGTGAGGGAAGATGGGGTTTGTTCCCCTCTTTCCACATCCCAGGGAGCTGGCATTGGCTTGGAGAACATGAATGCATGTGAGTGTGCAGAATGGGATTGCCTCCTGCAGGTGAAAACCACAGTCAGCAGCTCTGGCACCACCTGTACTTACACCCGAGGTGGCTGTCGGTTGGATGGCACAGGCACACTGATGGAAAAGGCTGTTGTAATACACACAGCTCAGTGCTGCTTTGTGTTGTGTTGAGCACTGACAAGAATCTTAAGGTGTCATAATCAGCCAGTAGACTTGAGCACAGCTTACTGTTAAGTGAATGCCATCCAGAGAGATCCAGATGAGCAGTAGGCCCACGAGAAACTCATGAGGTTCAACAAAGCTAAGCGTGAAGTCTTGCACCTGGGCTGAGGAACACTAATCAGTACAGGCTGGGGGATGTAAGGATAGAACACAGCCCAGCCACAAAAGGAATTGGAGGTATTGGTGGATGGGGAGCTGGACACGAGCCACCAATGTGCCCTTGCAGCCCAGAAAGCCAACCGGATCCTGGGCTGCATCAAAAGAAGTGTGGCCAGCAGTTTGAGGGAGGTGATCCTGTCCCTCTACTTTGTGCTGGTGAGACCTCACCTGAAATACTGCGTCCAGATGTGGAGTCCTCAGGACAGGATGTGGACCTGTTGGAGTGCATCCAGAAGAGGACTGACTACAAAAACAATCCAAGGGATGGAACACTTCTCCTATGAGGATGGGCTGAGAGAGCTGGGGCTGCTCAGCCTGGAGAAGAGAGGCTCTGGGGAAACCTGAGAGCAGCCTTTCAGTACCTAAAGGAGGGTTATGAGGGGGGTGAAGAGGACAGTCTTTAGCAGGGTCTGCGGTGATAGGACAAGGGGTAATGGTTTCAAATTAAAACAGGGTCCTGATCAAAGGGCATTTGCAGTAAAATAGAGAGAACACAAGGCGCCAGTGCACGTGTTTAAAAAGGAAAGTGCTCAAGGTCCCCGATTTCCAAGGATCGTGACGAAGGGCAAAATTCAAATCAGTAAGAACTCACCAAGCAGTTCCATCAGTGACTCCACCGCGGTACAACTGGCCGCTTCCAGAGCTGCTGGAGCAGAGCATCCCCAGTGCCTGCAGCCAACAGTGGATGGTGCTTTGGTCCCGTCCCCACCCTCTCTGCCACCCGGGAGGCCGGAGCGCAGAGCAGACCACGGAGCAGCGGCAGAGCCCAGCTGGAGGCCTGGGGCGGCTGCCACCCGCTCCAAGGGGCTCCGTGTCAGCCCACCCCACCTATCGGGAGCACCCCGAGCCCGGCTGCAGAGCTGTGACCCCACTCACATCCCCGAACAAAGCCAGAGGAGCCACCGTGCAATATAAATTTGTTTTTATTGAAGCAGCAGTCACATGACCTTGCATCTAGCCTTTAGGATAGCGACAGAATGGATTCGGCCAGGTCAGCCAGCCCAAAAAAAAAAAAAAAAAAAAAAAAGGAATTTTTATTCGTTTTTTTTGTTTTTTATTTATTTTTCTTTTGCGCTAATAGACATGTCATGTTTAATACACACATTATCCAGTACCGGAAACCCAACTCAGAGATAGCTACGTGCTGATTTGCTGGAGGAACGGTCCACTGGACGTGGTCTTGACAAACTTTACAAATCACCACCAAATAACGTTACTAATGGGACCAAATGAGGAAAAGGAAAAAAAGAAACGATGAGTGCAGTATTCAAAGCCAGCAGTTTACACAGGTTCTTAAGTTTGTATCTATAGGTGGACAGTAAAGGAAGATCGCTTGGATTCAATTTGAGATATCATGTCCCAGGGTTCCTCTCTCCATCAAATCAAACGGCATCAGAGACAAGCTGGCACCTCTTGGAAAAGTATCATGGAGTAACACAGCTCATTTAAGAAAACATGCTTATTTCTCATGATTATTTTTTTTTTTCTATTTTTATTTTTATTATTATTACAAAGATTCATGTCCACCTATTCTCGCGGAGTGGAAAAAGGTGCGGGGGTGAGGAACAAGGGGCAGAGAAGGAGGAGAGGAGGAGGAAGGAAGGGGGGCAAGACTTTGAAATAAAGACCACACACTTGGGAATTTTCAATTTCATTTCCAGGCTAACCTACTTTTTATTTAATGCAAATTACAGTACCAGTTAACTATTTCCGAACCGAGTCACACAGAACAAAACGTATTTACAAGGGGAATGGGGCGGGGGAAATAATAAAACATTAAGCATACTTTCCACAAAAAAAGTTTATATTTAAAATGAAAAAAAAAAAAAAAAAAAAAAAATCAGTCACAGAGGCATTCAAGTAGTAATAATGTTATACAGGTTTTGCTTTTCCTTTTAAATCAAGACAGATTTGCACAAGTGTATGCAATAGTTTGTATACAACCCACAGTCCTTAATATATATATATATATATTTTAGATTTGTTTTTAAGATGGAAGTGGTCACACTAATCGGTGTGTACAGGCCCAAGTGATCCATCAGCAACACATTAATGAACGCAAATTTTACAGGCAAGCAAATTATATATATATAAATATATTTTATATATATATATATATATGTATGTATATATATATATATATTAAAAATAAATTGAGAAAGACCAACACAAGGAAGCTACTTTTCTCAAGCTAACTCCTTAGGTACTGTTTTCCTTTCTGGTCGTTTTGCTGTTATTGCAGGGCTCCAAAACAAAACGAACTAGGAACAAAACTGCCTAAGAGCCCTGTGGGAAGAACCTGGGACCCAGGC